GGAAGTCTCGCACATTCACAGAAAACGGCTTACTTCCGTGTTGAAAAATAAGGTGGATAAACTGCTTCTAAAGCATCCTCACATAACACACAGGAATGTGTAGCTACATACAAACCTGAACTTGCTCTGAAAGACTCCGAATGTGATTTTGTCTCCTGTCTGAAGGATCTTTGTGGAGCCAGTTTCAAGCTTCTCACCATTGATGAAAGTGCCATATTTAGAGCTGTCCTTTAGAGTAACCGCCTGCCAACAGAGGAAAAACAAGAAAGCACCCTATCAGCAAGCTATAACTACATAACGGACTCAGTGAAAATTTAGATTTACACTCTGAATGTAGGTGGCACTTACAGAAATGCATTTAAATGTAGAAATGTATTTAAATGTTAACGGCTTTTTGTCATTTGAAAAAAAAAAGTTAATAAACTTGTTATTAAGAGGACAGCACTGAAGTTTGCTCATCTGTTCAACCTGTTTTTGTAATGTAACATAAAAACTTCAGCAAATATTGTGATATAAAAATGTGATAATGTCACATGCCTAGTTTGAACTGGTTTACTATAGTACATGCCACCTTTAATTATTTAAAAGATGATGAGTGATCTTTCAAAGCACTAAAATAAATAACATGGACATGTGAAAGTCTTTTAACATAATTATATATTGAACAAGGCCATTCGAATAAAACCAATATTCTCAGTTATGCCTTATTCTAATAACTTTTTTTTTTCAAAACTTTCCAAGAAGTTATTAGTAATATACAAATATAATTTAATGCATCCTGAATTCAAATAAGTAGCCTATTTCACAGCAAGAATGACTTACTGAATTCGCAGTAAGAGTGACTAAGGGAAATAATGACGCACATGATTACGGTTCTGCTGTGTAATTAACAAAATAATAAAAAACAATTAGTAAATAAAAATTTGATTACTTAGTGAAATACTTCCCACAGCACTGCCTTTGAGATATTTATGGAAAGGCTCTAAGAGAGCCATGGAAAAACATAGCTAAGATGACTTTTGTTAAGTTAACAACATAAAAGTCAATGGCATGTTAAAAAAAATTGCTATTCATATTCTCTTATCTCAGAAGCTCTACAAACACCTATCATTGTGGTTTATGTATAAGAATGACAGGGAGACCAAGTACAAAAGCATAAATAGTGGGCTACCAAACATCCCTTCATTGAAGATGCCCTTTTTTTCTTAGGCATCATTATATGGAGATATATCCCCTCATAAGGGGAGTTACTCACCTGCTGAGTGACAGTGAGGTTGGCGTGCACACGGCTGATGGACTGATCATTGGACAGCAAGATCTCACAGTTCTTACGGCCGACCACATACTCCTGACCCAGGAACAGAACGATACTTTCCCCTTCAGAAACAAAAAGGACTGGAATAAATTAAAGCATCCCAACCTATACAGATTATAATTACTGGAAATGTGCAGATTTTATGACAAAATCTGCCCTCTAAATAATAATAACAACAATAATAAAAAAGTCAGGATTTCATGGGAGCATTTTTACACCTCTCAGAAAGATGATGTCTGCATCAAAGCTCCATTAAAATAAAGCATGTAAAACAGCTGTGGAATACAAAAGAAGGTATTTTGAAGAATGTTGGTAACCAATCAGCTTCAGTTCCCATTGACTTCCATTGTATGGTTTTACACCTCTCAGAAAGATGATGTCTGCATCAAAGCTCCATTAAAATAAAGCATGTAAAACAGCTGTGGAATACAAAAGAAAGTATTTTGAAGAATGTTGGTAACCAATCAGTTTCAGTTCCCATTGACTTCCATTGTATGGTACAAAAAATATATAATGGAAGTCAATGGGAACCAAAACAGCTTGGTTACCTACATTCTTCAAAATATCTTCTTTTGTGTTCCACAGCAGAATAAAAAAGTCATACCGGATTATAACGACATGAGGGTTAGTAAATTATGAGTTTTACATTTTGGGGGGTAGACAGTAGACTATCTGTCTTTTATAGTAAATCATGATCACAATAAATGTAAAATGTGACATTTGTGACAAGGGTGAAACCAAGAGCCCTTTTTTGAATAGCAACTGATTGACTCACATCATAAAATAAATTACAATGTACGGTAAGTACAATTTTACTGGGTCTTCTCTTACTGAGAAAATTAGTAATTTCAACTCTAGTTACAATCGTTACCAGGAACAAAACAAATACTCTCACTAACTTAACTGGTAAAATCTGATGTTAGAATACTGAATGTCATGACACAGCCTACAGTGTAATTATGTCTAACTCATATGTAACTCAACCTCTCTATGCCTACGCATGACAAAAATTATACTATAAAACAGTTTAACTAAAGAAATGAACGCCTTGTGAGATATGAGGTGAAGCTGTATTTAAAAGTCCTTAGAAGTCATCCCTTAAACATAAACACGTTATGTAAACAAGAACACATTACATGAGCATTGTTACTGCTGTACAGTTGGTTTATAGTTGGTCTGGATTATACATACTGCCGCAGTGCACTAAAACACTGAATAAACGAGTCATTTTGCACAGAAAACATTACCTCTAGATTCGGTTGGTTGCAGTTTCCACATTTCAATTCTTGTCGCTTTCTACCGAATCAAAACTTATCAGTTCTTATATTGGGGCTGTAAAACTGAACTGTACGAACTGGCGCGCAACATTTACATCTTCATGTGCGACGTAAGAAACCTCAGTTTCAAAATAAAAGTAGGCTACTACGTGCACATAATACGGGAATGGGAGGTTCAGTTCATTTCAAAGAATCGGTTCTTTCAAACATTTCGTTTCAAAGAACAAAGATTCTTAGCGTCTTGATGTATTTACGTCATTGCAGTTCATTGCCTGGGCTTTAATAATAGTGATTTGTGAACATGTCGTTCAGCACAGGGTAAATATAATAATAAATTAATAAAATCGGATATAACATTAAATTAAATGGAGCTGCACAATTAATCGAAATAAAACTGAAATAGCGTATATCACATCACGATTATCGAATCAAAGGTAGGATCTTTGTTCTTTGTGTCTGGATGTCTCAGGAAAAATATTGGACATTTTCATATGAAATGAAATGTCATATCGCAGTTCACAACATTTTGCCAAGTGAAACCACTGGTTCAGCACAAGGAGCTCTAGCTTCAGTCCGGTTTCGTGAACCAGTTCAAACGATTCATTTAAAAGATATGACTCAGAAGAACAATTTATGCACAGATCAGACACTACTTCTCACCAGTGATTTTTACCTTTCGAAAATCTAAATGTATATTTTTGAGTGTTGAAAAAGTAGAGATAACACCTGAGAACATGATAAATTTGATGTGTATACATTTATTGTTGTGATTTTACATAACTTGCATTAAAAGTTCATGAAGTAGAGCTGTTTAAAATGTTCTTTTTAGGCATCATATTCCCAGAATAACGGTATTTTCATCAGTCCGTGTAGAAGTTGTTTCATAAATAGTCCATACAATTCTTAAATTAATTAAAATATTCCACTAGGCCATAACATGTCAGTGTATGCAATACAAGAGGTAGAATATCAAGCTCTTTTTCAGACTTGGTTTCAGTGCTTTAAAGTTGCAGAAGTGTGTGAGGGTAAGAGTCCGTGCATCAAAGTTATTTACATATAGTATTAATGCATTATTTAGCAACATTGCTACTGATTCAAATCCATTAGCTAGCATTCAAAAGCACTTCTAAACAATTGACAACTGCAATTATTCCTTCAGATGTACATCCATTTCCGAATACAACAGAGCCAGATACAGCAGACGTCCGGGGCTGTCTTTCCAATGTATTATTCCCAAATTGTCCGGAACATTGAAAAATCCTTGAACATATCAGATCGACAGGGTTCATTGTCTCACTTCCAGTGAGAGTTCAGTTTTCATAGGTATCGTTCAATACAAGGTCCCAACTTCCTGTAATAGTTCAATGTCTACATAACTGTGCAAGTATGTTTATTGCCACAGAATCATCTGGATTATAAAATCCAAAATTCCCTCAAACATTTCTTTGCATTAGTGGCATCTAGTTTTGTCACAAGCATGTTTGTGTATCTGTGTGTGTTAGTGCATTTGGTGTTCAATCAAAAAAAGAAAACAAGCCTTCTCAATACATGCAGAGGCATTCTAGAAAAGTATTACACAGGCTGGGAAGCTAGAGTCCACACCATGAGAGACAGACAGACGCAAAAGATCAAAGCTCCAATTAAAATATCTTGTTTTAAAAAAAAAAAATCTGTTGAGACAATGCGAGGTTAAAACAGCCGTATTATTTATGTAAGATGATTTTTGAATTATTTATGGTCAGTTAGTGAAAAGCGTTTGGTGGCTTGTTACAAAAGAGTTAACACCACATTTGAGTGTGTATGTTTGCAGGGCCGTAACCATCATAGAAACCCCGCAATCCAATATTTAGAAATGGCCAAACTGTCCCTCCCAATATTTGATATTCTTTATGTTGCTCTGTTTGTTGTTAGGATGACAAAAAGTTTTAAAACATTACATCTTAGGCTGTTCTGCCTCAGTGGTCTAACAGCTCTCATCAATGTCAAAATGATTGAGATGGCCTTTAAAAACCAAGAAGGCAGTCCTCACTGTTCAGATACTGAACATGAATTCCAGCATGATGCTTCAGTCTTTAACAGTGAAAGAATGTGAGGTAATTTGAAAGTAGTTAAACATTTACTATCTGACAACTGTTTTAAGACCGAAATGCTAAATGACTGACAGTAAAATCCAATGATGCACATTTTTTTTTCATTTTCATTTTGAATTTCTGAATCATTTCTGTGATTCAAGTAATGCATAATTGAATGTGACGAAATATGAAACATTTTAAATTTTCAACATATTAGGCATACGAAAAAATGAATGTGTGCCTATTTTAAATTAAAATAATATTTGCAAATATTTTACTTTTACTGTTACTATTACTTCTTTTACTGTTCTTTTTCTTTTTGTTTATTCCCTTAAATCCATTGAAATCCTTTAATTGTTTAATTCCTTTAATTATTCCTTTAATTCCTTTTAATTATTTAATTCCTTTAAATTACCCCAAGTTCAAAACATAGTTACAGCCAAACATATGGTTGAATGTTTGTAGTTGCATGAGTGCATTGTAATGAGCTGTGAAGACAAGGAACAGTGTCAGAGGTGCTGCATTCTTTCCATATCCATGTAAACAGTGAGCGAGAAAAAAAGCACTAGATGGAGCAAAAAATAAATGGAAATATATAAGAAGGACCAGACTTTGTCTGGCACAGAGAGCAGCGGGTCTGAAGGGTTAAACTCCATTATATCGGGTGTACTGTTCGGTCTTTTATTACGGTAAGAACAGCTGAAAACTTCACCAATGGTACATATACTGTTTTTCAAACACCCTTAAAAATAACCCTTTCTGCAAGCTAAATTCCTCATCTCAAACCTATTTCCCACCTGTCATTCTTTCCTCAAATTTTCTCTGCCCCTCTCCTGAATCCAGCAGTGATTAATTCCAGAATCCCCCGCCCCATTTCAGAGGGCAGATTCTGAGTAAAGAGCCCCTGATGATCCGTGTGACGGTGGGTGGAGTCTGCGCAGTGATGCGATGGATGTCGAGTTGAGGTCTCCGCAGCTACGCAAGTGGATTCCCCCGGCCCTTACAGGGTCATCATCATGGTGGCGGGGGGCATTATGGCGACTGTCACTATGGGAGTGATGGTGTCCACGGCAGTGGTGGTGGACGTGCTGCTGCTGCCCCCTGTTGGCCCCCAGAGAGTTACGAAGCACCTTCATAGAAACATGTAATGGGTCGTTTTATCCTAAAACGCACTACACAGAATTCTAGCTGAACTAAATTATTTTATTTATGGTATTGGCAATGTTTTACCTGTTCTAAAGGCAGGCCTTCACTTCCTGTCCTCCTTTTAGGCCCCTGAGTACAGTTTCCAGCATGTTCAGTTGCAAGGGCTAAGTTACGTTTGGATCTCTGCAGGAAACGTTGCACTAAAACTTTAGTGACCTGTAATTTAAATCGAAAATGTTTGTCTGCTTGTTTATACTAACATTTACGGTAATATTGGGAAGAAAAGGGAGATCGGCAGATTTCGGGGTCCTTGACATCAAAAAGACTAACCTTGAGGTCTCCAAGAGAGCGTGCACAGTCTTTGGGTAAACGCAGCGAGGTGGCTGGGACTTGTTTTGAGGGCAACCGGGTACTTACAGTCTTAATGCTGCCTTTTCTGGGCAGGGAAGCAGGAAGTGCCAAAGAGGAGCGAGGCAGCAAACCAGCTCCAGACAATACCCCTATGCCACAAAGGTAACACAAACAAAGTATTCAAATATAGTGAGCAGGGAGCAGAATTGTTATTAAAATAATAATAATAATAATCTAAAATAAATAAGTATTTTTACCTTTGCATGTTATTTTGGTATTATTTATATGCTATTATAGTATTTATTAATGATTTATTTCAAATTAGTTTTTATATTATACTTAAGGTTTGAGTAATGTTGTTATGTGATTTTGTCATTTTTATTATTTTTTACCTTTGAAATGATTGAATTGATCAGGGATCTTGTTAAAAGTACAACTAAAAAACATGCTTGTTTGTAAGGATGGTTTCTTCCAACCAAAAAGTTTGATAGACTTAACCACATTTTATTCTTATCACTGTTCTGGTGTCACCCATATAAATGCAGGTGGTCATGCATTAATAAGTAGGTGTTTCTGATCTTCCAAGAAACATATCAGAACAAACTCAGTCTCAATATATATATATTTTTTAAATAGAGTGCAAGTGATGAGTTCTGAGACTTGAAATGAGCTTGAAAAATGTGATCTCTCATAATATGACTCCTTTAAATTTGTTTACAATATACATTTATTATGTGTTACCATGGTTATTATAAAAAAAATGTAAATTAAAAACTTAAATGATTTTAGCAAATGGCTGCAATATAACAAAGAGTGAAAAATTTAAGGGGGTCTGAATACTTTCCGTACCCACTGTATATATATATAAACTGAAACTAAATTAAAATTAGAAACATTTTCTTTGGGAACTAGCTGAAATAAATTTAAGATGAAGCAATAAATTACTAACTGGAAATAAAACCTAAAACTGAATTAAAACTAAAACTGAAATTTCAATTTTAAAAAGTTATAAAAATGACAATGACAAAAATTACAGTACATAACAACATTACTAAAATTTAAACTAAAATTAAAACAAAAACTGAAAATGTAAAAATAAAATATAAATGAAAACTAAAAATGTAAAAATAAAAGTTGAATAAAAACTATAATAGTACACAATAAAACTAAAATAACACTGTGTGTTTCTCTCTTGTAGTAATCCTATATAATAAACATCTCTGTGACATGAGAGTGCTAAACTCTTACCTGTTTCTGATGAGGTCTGTGATCCCCCCTCACTGACTCCTTTATTGCCTCCTGAGTGACTGAAATCACCTGAGGACAGAAGAGCACACACAAAAACACGTTATCATCATTCTGCAGAGTGGTCTGAAGAAAACAGAGTAACACAGAGGCGAACACAAATGCACATTTTCACGTAAATCCCAGACAACTGTAGTCTGTTACATATGTATGTTCATACCTGTGTCAGTTGAAGAGCTAAGTCCTGGTTCACTGTGTGACCTAAAGAGAGGTAAGAAGCCGTCGCTGTCTTTTCTATCACGTCCAATTTGCTCACGGAAACCTGGCCGCAGAAGGAGCACCGGTACTGTGTGGTCTGGCCGGTCTTGAGCAGGACCTGATGGGGCTGCGGTAGGTGGGTTAGTGAATGCAGATGAGGAGTCCTGTCGGGAGGGTGTGCAGGGCCGAACTCGGATTTCTGGGATACAGGAATGTTTAGATCCTGCTAAGAACTCCAACTGAGAGCAGCTACTCGCCAACAGAGCTTGACGCCTCAACACTGGAGACCTGTGGAGGAAATTGTGAAGGAAATTTTCCGCTGAAATGTGATTTTATTTAACAATTTTAACAACCCTTTTAAACGACAGTTTAAAAATCTCTAGCTGAACCCTCAGCATACGTTAAGGCAACGGTTATTTTAAAATGTATCACCGGTTATATTTGATGTATCGGTTACATTTCATTTTTATTTTTTATTTTTCTAAATATTCACAAACATTCTAACCATATTGTGAAATATCTGGTATTCTGATTCTCAAATATGTTAATGTAAATGTATTTTGTCAGTTAAACACCTCTATAATGTTGGTTGATCTATAAAAGGCAATGGGTGCCACCATGTTAGTTTTCTCTGCAATGAGAGCTGTTGGATTTACAACATGTAAATTCATCCACTTCTCCTGAAAGACAAAGTAAGTGGCCAGTGAACTGGAAGAAGAACAAAGTAAACTTTATAGTTCCCTACACAATTTGTATCTGATGTGAATAAAACACTTTGTCATATTAAGTTTGAAAGAATTATTATTGATGCTTCCATAGACATCAGTGTATTTTACAAACTATAATTTTTTCCTACACTGTGAAGACTTGTTTAGTAAGATTATTGAAGTATGTTTTACAAGAAAATACTATTTCATTTATTCTACTTAAATTTTTTACCTGCCATTTCTTTGTAAGTATTTGTGAAATCCTACTAGCCATTTACTAGCAATAATTATTTCTACACTGTTTTTTTAGTGTAGTACTTATGTGACTTTATAGGTCTGAACATGTTGTGGTTGAAAACACTGAATAGCTGTGATACAAGACAAGCACTGAACACATCCTTCTCTGGCTCAGCACCAGCCAAAGCATGAAACCAGAATTGAATTTAGCATGTGATGCACTAAATGTTCTAATCACGCTGGTGTGATTGTATGCGTCAAAGGTTTAAAGACTCAACTTTTTCCTACCTGTAGGTAGAGGTGTTGTACGAGCTCGGGCAGGAGCAGGAGTTCGATCTCTCGCCTCTGAAACAACGCCTTCCGGAAGGAGCGGCCACCATTCCCTCGGGATGTTGTGCGAAAGAACGGAGGCTGGCGTACTCTCCCCCCTCCCCTCCCTCGCTGCCCCCCCGTGGCCGTGCCCGCATACCGACACCCACTTCCATTAGGCAGGAGTCCTCAGATGGGGAGCTGTCATCTGGAATATCCACAATCTCAGACATCAATAGAGAGCCACTGTCCATTGACACTGAGAGAGAGAATATACAAAATGTACACACATACACATAGTTTGGTCATTTAAAGGGTTAGCTCACCCAAAAATAAAAATTACCCCATGATTTACTCACACTCAAGGCATCCTAGGTGTATATGACTTTCTTCTTTCAGATGAATCCAATCTGAGTTATATTAAACAATGTCCTGGCTCTTCCAAACTTTATAATGGCAGTGAATGGGTGTTATTTTTCAATAACCCAAAAGAATTCCAATAAAGTGCATCCATCCATCATAAAAAGTGTACCACACGGCTCCGGGGGTTAATAAAGGTCTCCTGAAGGGAATCGATGCATTTTTGTAAGAAAAATATCCATATTGAAAACTTTATAAACAGTAATCTCTAGCTTCTGCTAACTGTCGTACATGCATACAAGTCGCATTCCAGTGGATGACGTAGGACGTAGGCATAGTGTAAGCTCCGGTGAGAATATGCTAGTCTTGCGAGAACCAAGATTTTGTTGACAGGAGCAAAGGAAGCAGTTTCCTTTGTTTAGCAAAGGAAAACCAGTCTCCTCTTGGCTTATATTGAAATCCTCCAACATTTTTCTTTACAAATCCTCGTTTTGTACTTCTAATTCGTGACCGGTGTTTTGCTCTCTCCTCTGCGCTTCCACATTCTTCACTTCTCACCAGAGCTTACGCTATGCCTACGTCCTATGTCATCTGCCGGAAAGTCGTTCTATTGTGAACACGCATACGACAGTTAGTGGAAGCGAGAGATTACGGTTTATAAAGTTTTAAATATGGATATTTTTCTTACAAAAACGCATCGATTCACTTCAGGAGGACTTTATTCGCCCCCCGGAGCCATGTGGTACACTTTTTATGATGGATGGATGCACTTTATTGGACTTATTTTGGACTAATGAAATATAACACCCATTCACCTGCATTATAAAGCTGGGAAGAGCCAGGATATTTTTAAATACTCCGACTGGGTTCGTCTGAAAGAAGAAAGTCATATACACCTAGGATGCCTTGAGGGTGAGTAAATCATGGGGTAATTTTCATTTTTGGGTGACCTATCCTTTTAATAGTATTCATACGCACTTGGAACTCCCGTGATGTAGGATGGTACATAAAAAAGGGATGTCTTGACAAAATCTGAACATAAGTGATCAGAGGAGACGCAATTGAAATGCATGTTAATATCATGCGGTGCAAACAAGAATGCGTCTTGGCTGTCCACTTGTGACTGATTGACCAAAAACATGTCTTAAAGGGACAGTTCACCCAAAAATGAAAATTCTGTCATCATTTACTCACCCTCAAGTAATTCAGTTGTACAGTTTCTAGTCCCATTGACTTCCATAGTTTTTCATTTTTTCCATACTATGGAAATCAATGGGGACCAACTACTGTTTGCTTACCCACATTTTTTAAACTATGCTTTTAATACCAGGTGAAAACAGTTTGCTAAAGGATGAACAGAAGAGAGGCAAGACTCACCTTCCCCACTGAATGCTGTGGATGTTCCTCTCTCTCCAGACAGCTCACCGGCTTGAGTGTCAAACACTGTGGCCTACGAACAGTGAGAGTGACATCATGACCACAGTATTACAAAATGATGATAAATACAATTCTTTACAAAATGATGCAAAGCATGATACCATGAAAATTTTTAAAAGAAACTAATACTTTTATTCAGCTAGGATGCATTAAATCAATCAAAACTGACAGTAAAGACCTTTATAATGTTACAAAAGATTCTATTTCAAAATAAATTGTTCTTTTGTATTTTCTATCCATCAAATAATTCTTAAAAAGAGTATCACTGTTTACACAACAATATTAAGCAGCACATCTGTTTTAAACATTGATAATAATAACTATTTCTTGAGCGGCAAATCAGCACATTAGAATGATTTCTGAAGGATCATGTGACACTGAAGACTGGTAATGGCTGCTGAAAATTCAACTTTGGCAAGACAGGAATAAATTACATTTTAAAATATATTAACAGAAAATAAGACATTTTAAATTGTAATAATATTTCAGTATTTCAGTATTATTTAAAGTTTTTTAAATAATAACAGTACGGAGCCCCGCACATGACATGCAAGAAAAAATTTGTAGGCTAAATCATGTGCACGATTTACTATTTCGTTCCCTCGATTTATTAATTGTGCGCACAATTTACTAATTCGTTCCCTCGATTTGCTAAATCCTGCACACGATTTATAAATCGAGAGAATGAATTAGTAAATTGTGCGCACAATTTAGCAAATCGAGGGAACGAAATAGTAATTGTGTGCACGTTTTAGTACATCGAGGGAACGAATTAGTAAATCGTGGGCACGATTTATTTATTTTTTCTTGCATGTCATGTAATATATATAATCTCCATATAATAGTAATCATAAAACATAATTATTTTCTATAAACATTGCATTGAATTTTATTTTCCGTTTAAACAAGTCATCTTTACACCCCTCAATGCTCTCATGTACCTGACTGGGAGCCCTTTGACCTATCACTGCCTCATAAGGAGGAGGGCAGTCCGTTGGGTACAGAGGCACTGGACTCCCCATTGATCCATTATATGTGACACTGCAGGAAAAAGTCATTATTAAAAGAAAAGGCATGACAGAAGAAGTGTAGTTAAAATGGACAGATGCCTATAAGAACAAAAAAGAGATTGAGAAAAAAGACTGAACACAAATATTTCAAGAACATTTACACTGAGAACACTTTAACTGAACAATATTCTGTCAGAGCATCTCAAGTATGTAAGCGACCTTACTAAACATACTAAATACTATTTACATTTTTTTTTTAACATTTTCTTAAAGGTTTCATATTAGAGGTAGAGTTAGGAGATTTTATTAGCTCAAATATGAAACAAGAAAAGTCAATGGAAAGTGCACAAAATGATGGAAAAACAAAAGCAAAAAAGTGTGTGTGTGTGTGTGTGTGTATTTTCACCTCTGTGCATCGGTCTCTGAGCTGCAGGTGTATTCAGGAGGGTAGTACGGTGGTGGGGGAATGGGCGGAACAAACTCCTCAAAGTCCATCATGTTACTGAGAAATGCATCCTGAGGAGTGGTGCATTCCGGGTTAACAGAGCGAGAGCGATGAGGAGCCAGCTACAACAAACAGAGTGGGATGAGATAAAGGGTCATGAGTGTATCTACACACTGTAACATTTGAAAGAAAAATTCAGCTATTAAAAACTAGTGTTTTAGTGCAAAGATTTTGTGGATTTTTGCCTCACTAGATGCATTAGGTCCAAAGAGAAGATATGAATGCTGCAGGTGACCGTGGACAGAGTGCAGATAATGGTAGAGAGAATACTAAGACCACAGGCACTGAACAGCAGATCCTGCACACATATAATATAATGGTTAAACTCAAACGTATTCAAACACCTGAGTGTAGTGTTTGCTTTGGGGGGCAGGGACCATCCCAAACACCCTATAAGAGTTAAAGGACCCCACCTTGAGCTGGTGACGCACAGAGTGGCAGTCTGTATGTTGGTAGAGCACTAGTGTCTCATCTTCTGTTGGAGAGCACGTCTGCTTGACGTCACAGCAAAGACACAGACGACATGAGAGCATGGAACCAGCCAGACTGAGAATCACACACACTGCAGACAGCAGCATGAACAGCGACACCTGAACGAAACAAAAACAGCATCACTGCAGAAACTAAGAGGAGCAGACAAACACACAGACATCCTGTCAAGATGATAAAGATGCGTACAACAAGAGTGAAGGGCCTCCTCCATGATATCACACCCACTACTCCTGACGCCACAACCTAACAGAACAAAAACATATTTAAGGGATAGATTTTCAGTTCTTCACACAAATCTATATGAAATAGCTTCAGAGCAAAAGATGCATT